ACTACCTGGTTTCTGGTTCTGACATTCCCATGGCAACCTCCTCCCCAGTTTAGGCAGGGTTTAGTGCTGTACAAGTAGGATTTGTTCGAAAAGGAATAAAGGTTGCAGTATGAAAAAGACACTTCCCCATGTGTTCCTGATGGCCAGTAAATAAGGGTCGAAGCGCCGGGTGAATGCGAGCTCTTTATTGGATTTGGCAGGGTGTGCGCGTCCCAAGGTTAGACTGCTTAATGGCGCAAGAAATACAAAATAAAGGAAATTAAAGGGGTAACGTACAACAGCTGTGATCAGCTACGTCTTAAACATCATGCGGCAACCGAGGAACCGGGCTGCAGCTACAGAGCCGGTGACAAAACGGGGGGTGACGGTAAGATGGGCGAGAGGATCCAAACTGGGGGTGATGGTAAGAGAGGATCCAAACGGGGGGTGACGGTAAGAGAGGATCCAAACAGGGGGTGGTGGTAAGGTGGGAGAGAGGATCCAAACGGGGGGTGACGGTAAGAGAGGATCCAAACAGGGGGTGGTGGTAAGGTGGGAGAGAGGATCCAAACGGGGGGTGACGGTAAGAGAGGATCCAAACAGGGGGTGGTGGTAAGGTGGGAGAGAGGATCCAAACGGGGGGTGACGGTAAGAGAGGATCCAAACAGGGGGTGATGGTAAATTGGGAGAGAGGATCCAAATGGGGGGTGAGGTGGGTGGGAGCTAATGGTAAGATGGGCGAGAGGATCCAAATGGGGCGTAATGATAAGAGAGGATCCAAACGGGGGGTGGTGGTAAGGGGAGAGAGGATCGAAAGGGGGGGTGGGGTGGGTGGGGGGTGATGGTAAGATGGGCAAGAGGATCCAAACGGGGTCTGACGGTAAGAGAGGATCCAAACAGGGGGTGGTGGTAAGGTGGGAGAGAGGATCCAAACTGGGGGTGATGGTAAGGTGGGAGAGAGAGTCCTGGTGTGGAGCAGGAGGGGGCTCGGCAGTGACGTCCCCATAGGCAAACAGAAGTTTGTGCCGCCTTTCCAGCTGTATTGCCCAAACTTGCTCCGTCGCCGCCTGTTCTCCCTGGGAACACCCCGTCCTTCTGCTGAGCCCCCCGTTTTGTGTCCCACGGTCGCCATTTGCGAAGGGCGAGCAGTAGGGGGTTGGGGCAAGGCGGCACAGGCTGGCTCAGGGCTGTGAAAAGGCTCGCTGAACGCAGCGGTTGATTTTTCTCTTGGTTTCCCAAGACAAGGAGAGCCTGCGGTCAGTTTGGGCTCTCTTGGCACGCCGCTGATGGATCCGGTGGAAGCTTCGGGGACTCGGTGATGGGAAGGTCTGGAGGAGGAGATGGGGCAGGAGGGCAGGGACCAACGGGGATGGGGAGCAGCCAGGAGAGGAGAGGGAAAGGGAGGGAGGGTTGAGAGCCTGCGGGGAGCAAAGTTCCCCATCTCCCTGCTCTGCTTTTGTTTGCAAAGGGGAATGCTGGAGCATCCTGCTGCCACCCTCCTTTCGTCCCCGGGCGACAGAGGAGCAGCACCTCCCCATCCCTGGGTGCTGGAACGGTCCGGGAATGGGTCAGTCGGTACAAGCGAGCTCTCAGCAGTTAGGGGAAGCCTAGGATTCGGGTGTGGGTGTAACAAGTTGCGAGGCTGCTCATGCTGGGGTGAGTAAAGGGACCCGGGCAGCCTGAGGACGTGCGCCCGATGTACCTGGTTAACCCGATGGATGAGCCACAGCGGCTTCGGAGCAGGAGGTGAAAGAGAAGGAGATGGCGCCGGGCTGCCCTGGAGTGAAGCAGGAAACCTTCTCCCCCCGCAGCCCCTCCGGGCCGAGCCGAGAGCTCTGTTGTCAGGAGGGGAGC